GAGGAGGAGGAGGAGGAGGTAGGCAGCACCAGCACGTGATGGTTTGACTGAGATATCAGACCTAGGCACTGAAGTTTGGTCCCAGCTGGTGATACTATTTTAAGAGAAAATAGAAACTTCAGGAAGTGGGACCTAGGTGGAGGAAGTACTCACTGAGGTGGGCCTTTGAAAGATACTCAGTCTCTAGTCCCTCCCATCTCTCTGCTTTCTGTCCTGAGGTGAGCAGCCCCCATCTCACCACAGAGTCAGAATCAACAAGCCAAAACCTAATGCCCTGAGTCTCTGAAACCACAAGCTAAAAATGAACCTTTCTTAAGTTGCTTGTGTCAGGTGTTTTGTCACAGGAACACAAAGGTAACTGACACAACCAAGCTGAGGTGAGAGAGGTCAGGATAAAAGTTCCCCTGGGAAAAACCTAGAACATTCTAGGCCTGAGGTGCTCACACCAGTATTCCAAGTTGGCAAATGGCTTGCATAAGCATGAGGCCCGGGTTAACCTCCCCCAGTGCTGGGGGCAGGCCGGTATCACCTCCCATTCTGAGCCCTGGGGAGGTCATGAGGTCATAGCCTTGGCCTGAACAGTCCAAGTCCAGTGTCCAGGCTGCTCCACAGCACCACAGCCTCCCAGAGGGCTGAGGCAGAGCCAGGCATCCTTTCCTCTACTGCACCGACCTCAGTCCGAGAGGCGCCTCGCTGTCCTGTGGCCTGGCCCTGGCAAGGTGGAGCCTCAGTGGCCTGCTTCGTGGTCCCTACCACAGGCCATGGAGGAGCCGCACCAGAACTGCATTAAGTCCTGCAGCAGGACACACATACAGCTCATTTCTACACGCAGGTCAAGCCCAGGAGGCTACATGCATGAAAGCAAGGGCCACCTGCAGACATAGGCCGCAGTGCTTAAATGCCCTGAGGTATGCAGATGAAACCAGGGCTTGTGCAACATGAGCCGGGCCCACCCCTCTGCCCATCCCGGGATGCTCTCCTGTAATTCTCTTGCACTTAGGCCTCCAATCCACCCAGAACCTTCCTGTGGGTGCAGGGCCAAACAGAGGGCTGGCCTTGCTACCCTGGGGTTCTCAGCTGCCTGTAGCAGTTAATGAGGCTGTCAATCAGGCGCCTATGGCCGCCCCCTGCAGCTTCCTAGCAGGCAGCTGGGTCCCTCCCAGTGGGGGACTCTCTGCAAGGTGGCCTAGGGCTCATGGACCCCAAACGTATGAGCCCAGCCCAGAGACGCTGCAGAGGGATCAGTGAGAACAGGCACTGAAAGGCAGGTGGTCAGCAAGCCATACAGCTCCCCTGCCTCTCAGCTGCCACATGGTCCTTCTCTGTGCTTAGGAGCTGTCATCCACTTCCCCTCTACATATGCAGGAGCTCCCCGCCTCACCCAGTGCCTCCCTCCATGTCCCTATCAGATTTCCAAGGTCAAGCCCAAGTCCACGCAGGGCTGCCATCCTCTCCAATGTCACCTTGGCTTCCTCTCCCTCCTGTTCCAGCTCCTCCCATGAACCACCACACTTCCCATCCCCCCAATGTAGTGGGCAGTGCACCTCTACTTGGCCGTGGTCTGCAGGATGTGGCACTCCCATAGGACACATGAACCTGGTTCCTCTGTACACAGGCCTGTGCACCCCTAGGGACTACACTGCAGGGCGGCAGCATCCCTGGCTCCAGCAGCTTCAATCCTCAGTGCCTCAGAACATAGGGTAGGTGTTTCCATGCTGGAGGTCACTCACTCAACAAGTGCTAAGAGCCTGTCAGGTGGTGATGCAAGCACATGGACAGGCAGACTAAAACCCCATCCCACAGAGGCCTTTCCAGTAGGAAAGAATGAATCAAAACACAATCTACAGGGCTGGAGAGATGGCTCAGTGGTTAAGAGCACGGGCTGCTCTTGCAGAGAATCAGAGCTCAATTCCTACAACCGTAGTAACTCCAGTTCCAGGGGATCCGACGCCCTCTCTGACCTCCATGGGCATCACATGACATGGGTGCACTTACACACATGCAGGTAATACACTCATACACATAAAATAAAAATAACAAAATAATTTTTAAAACACAAACTACATTCAAGACAAACACTCTGGAAGAAAATTAAGCAGAAAGGCAAAGTTTTGGAAGAAGGTCCAGGAGGCCACTGACGAGGTAGCTGTGAGCAGACAAGAAAGAGGTGAGAGGGCGGCCCATGTGGGCATCTGAAGAACATTCTAGATGCGCTAAGCATGCACAGACCATCAGACAGAAGCTGGAGCAACAGAAAGGCAGGCAGGATGGTTAAGGCATCTGAACACCAAGGACCACTGGAGGAGCCTGACAACAACCCACCAGCTGAGGACAGACCTGACATGTTTTAGCAACAGTGGGCACAGCTGCTCTGCTAAGAGAATGTGTCAGACAGGCTGGGGAGGGAGTCTGTGCAGGACCACACACAGTAATGGGCTGGGGAGACACAGGGGTGCAAGACAGACAGGCAGGGCAGGGTACAAATGGTCCAATAAATGTGGTAATCACAGGCACAGCCAACAGGACTTGGGAAATAGATGCACGGTGTGAAAGACACATTGGGAAGATCAGGGAATTCTGCCTGGGCAATGTTTGGGGGAGGGTGGAGTGGGCTGCCATAAATTCAGATGGAGGCTATGGAGGCCTTATGAGATAGCATCAGGGCACATTAAGTATGAGGAGTTGTTCCTCAGATGTCCATGCAGACAAGTGTCTGGGCAGATCCACAACCAGTTGCTGCGCAGAGTGGCTATGGTATTCCAACCTCAGCAAATGGATGAGACCCCAGGGGAGTGAGAAGGAGAGAGATAAGAGACCAAGCCAGGGCATGAGCCCTGCAATGAGAGGTCATCTGTGGTAGAAAGGGAGACAGAAGAGACACAGGGGACCAGGGTGCCAACCTGGAACCAGGGGAAGGAAGGGAGGGAGCATGACAAATGTCACTAGAAGGCTGGGTGACAGGAACCCAAAGCTCGTCACTGACCGTAGCAATGTGAGAGGTCACTGGGAAACATGACAGAGAAGCCGGGAAGTGACACAACCAGGGCAGCAGCAGTTTGGACAGGGTGAGGAGGAGAGGAAGGAAATCACAGTGAAGAAAGGATAGGACAGTGAGGGGGCGAGAGGTCAAGCCAGGTATGCTCTGGGCAAAGAAAAAAGACATCAGGCTGGAGAGATGGCTCAGCGGTTAAGAGCACTGACTGCTCTTACAGAGGACCCCGGTTCAATTCCAAGCACCCTCATAGCAGCTAACAACCAGTTCTGAGGGATTGGATGCCCTCTTCTGACCTCCGTGGGCATCTGCATGACACAGGGCACTCACACACATGCAGGCAATACACTCATACACATAAAATTAAGTTTTTAAAATGTTTTAAAGAAGAAAAAGACATCAGTGCACGCTTACACAGCAGTGCAGAACCTAGAAGATGTGGCTGCCCCAGCCTATGATGTGCTCACAAGTCAAGTGTTGCCCAGCACCTGCACATGTGGCAGACACTTCAGGGTCCACTACCCCCTCATCTCCTGGCCCTGCCCAACACAGCCTGCACACAGCAACTTCACATCCACACCAGCCATGGCAATGTCCTCCCTAAGCTCCCACTGTCATCCACATGAGCTTGTAACAATGCCATTCCCTGAGCAGCTGGCTGGCAAGGGGAGGGGACACTACAGGCCAACACACAGGACCACCAGCATCCAGAAAGCAGCTTCCAAAAGCAAAGGGACTCATCTATACCAGCATACTGTCACCAGGGTCATGGCGTTGGTGCAGCAGATGGAACCACGTGTAACCAAGGCTCTACTTCTGTTAAGACAGGAAAGCCACAGCACTGGATCACATGACCCAGTTCACACCCTGTCCTGGCAACCAGTCATATACTGGACTGGGGACTCCGGCCCAAGACTCCTCTATGGTCCACATACATCCCTGGACACGGAGACTGGAGGAGTTGTGCAGGCCCTCTGGCGCCAGCTGGCTCTGAATAGCAGCTCTGTGCCCTAAAGGGCTGCAGCACCACTGACAGCGCTGGCACTTTGGACAGCTCCAGGGCGCCCGCCAGCCCCAGCACCGTGGACAGCGGCTTCCCCATCACTCACCCTGTGCATGTCTTCGTACTTGAGGAAAAGCACGTTCGAGTCCATACGATGCTCCCAGAACTCCTGCACGTGCTCAAACCAGGAGCCATAGCCCACTGTGGAGACAGGAACGGGACAGCTGGGGAGGGGACTGAGCAGGACGGGGGCACCCTGCCCCCACAGGCTGCCCTCCTCCTGCCCAGCTGCTGTTAAGGAGGACTGCAGAGGCTTCTGCAAGGAAGAGTGCACTAGAGACCCCTCAGCCTCCTGCTCCAGCCTCCCTCTCCCACCAACATCCCCTCACCTCTACCCAGACCACGTATGGATGACATAAAGACCTGACAAGGCAGGAGGGCTCTGAGAACAAGCTGTGTAGCCTACAGGGTCAGTGAAAATGATGCCTGGAGGAACCATGACAGAGCACCAGGTGGAGTTAGGGGTGGGGTGGATGAGGGACGCTTTAAGACATTCCATAATGTAGGTCCACATTCCTAGTAGCAAGTACTGACATCCATCTCTTCAGCTACACTGCACAGCCCTGTGGAGGGTCCTTGTGCCACACCTCCAAGGGTGCCATGGTAATGGAGGTGGGTCCCCATGAGATGCTGTACAAGAGAGGCACCCAGACCCCGCTGAGCATCAAGAATGAGGAAAGCTGGGTGAGAAGCAGGGGAGGGAATGGGGCCCTGTGGGACCCATCCTCCAGGTCACCTGTAAGCTCCTTAGCTGAGGACCTGTACTGGGGTCCCAGCACACCCGACTCACACACTCTTCTAAGCAAACCTGCTCCCTTTACAGAGGGCTGAGTCTTGGGAAGGTCACAGTGGGTCACTGGAGCCAGGACAGAGAGACCCAGGTCTCCTGGTTCATGTGCTCAGCTGTAGCTAAGTATACACAGATGAAGCTGAGGGGCAGGAGGAAGGCAAGCTGCCTGGGAAGAGACGGAGGAACACACAGGACTTCCAGATGACCGGGACCCTACTGGGCCACGTGGACACTGAACAGGAGAGGCCAGCCAGGACCATGAGCCCAGCAAGCCATGTCTGACTGTTAGTTACCAGGGAGATCAAAAGTACCCCATCACCTCTATACCTGAGGTCCCAGAAGAAAGGGACATGTGTGGGCTGGTGGGAGCCAAGCTCTCCAGAAAGGGGGAGCCCTGCCATGACCCCGTTTCTCTATACACTTCAATCTGCTCAGATGGTGAAACCACTCACCCAAGGACTGTGGGAAGTCACAGTTCAATGCAGCCCCCTGCCTGTGGAGCACACCCCTACCCTGTGCAGGTCAGAGACTACCCACAGAGCACTGCTGACACAGCATCTGTCACAGTGACCCTGGCCAGAGGGTCCCCCACGCTGCATGTGTTACGGGGAGACTGTCCATAGAGCACCACACTGTGTTAGTGACTCTGCAGTGTCCCACACAGCAAGTTACCTGGTTTGGGCATCTCTCAACCCCAGCCCTGGAGTCTCGAGCCACCACCATCTTAATGTGGATCTTCCTCGCAGCGGCTAGCCACTCTGTTCAATCCTCTGCTGTTTCTTAGTGCTCGGGACATTGAATCCAGGGCCAGACACGTGGGCAAGCGTGCTATCACTGGGCTGCACACCTTGCTCTCTCTCTGCTTATCATTTTGAGCTGCAGCAATGCTCAGAAGGGACTAGACAACTGTGGATCTCCAGGCCCCTGTGAGTTTCCAACAGTTTTCTAGCCCTGTCTACAGTTAGCCTGGGCAGGAAACTCATGGAGGTGGCCCCCAGGATTGCTGCACTCGGGCATTACGTTCCTGAACTCTGCCACACACCTCCTCATCATCTTGCTTCACGGCCTCCCTACAGGACTCCAGATAACCCATACTGTGCATGAAGAATAGCAAGTGTGTTTTCATATCCGGGCCTGGGGTAATCTCGGTGTGGACTCGGTGAAATTGCAATACGACCCTCTTCGCACATGTCTGAGTATGCACCACACTGCCTGCTTGCCAGCCAGAAGACCCACAGTAGCATGAGAGGCCCCAGGGCAAGATGGGAACAAAACCATATGAAGGAACTGCTGCCAGGGCTCCAAAGTGTTAGAGAGCCTGACGGGACGAAAATAACCAAGGTCTGTAAGAGATGAGACTGCTTCCTCTACAGTTCCCCTTCTGGGAGGTCAGTGACTAGGCTCTGCTCCCCCTGGGGCAGGAAGGGACAATTAGGGAGGACACACAGTGCCCTGCCCAGCACACCCTGCTCCTAAATGTGTCCCAGTATCACTGTCAGTCCCTGAAGTCCAGCCCAAGGTTCCACAGTGGTTCACACCTAGCCGTAGCCTTCCCTCTAGCCTCAGCCTCTGTGTTCACAGTTTTCATTCTCAGCTTGTTAAGAACCACACAGGAGGGAGGGATGCTTAACTGGAGATCCCTCCGCGTGGCTGGGAACAGGATTCGAAAGTCCTGGGCACTGCAGTGCCACACACCACCTTTAAGATCCACAGTAGCCCAAGCTCAGCTGCTCCAACCACTTGGTGGGAACACAGGACCCACAAGCACAGTGGGCTTCCAGAGGTGCAGGTGAGCTGCCAGCGCAGTGCACACTAGGCGCTCCAGCAATTCCCAGCCCTTGGGGTCAGAGCACACAGCACACACTAGGCCCTCCAGCAATTCCCAGCCCTTGGGGTCAGAGCACACAGCACACATTAGGTCCTCCTGCAATTCCCAGCCCTTGGGGTCAGAGCACACAGCACACACTAGGCCCTCCAGCAATTCCCAGCCCTTGGGGTCAGAGCACACAGCACACACTAGGCCCTCCTGCAATTCCCAGCCCTTGGGGTCAGAGCACACCTCGCCAGCAAGGTACTTACACTTGTCATTCATGAACCTCCGGCAGAATTCCTGGAAGGTGCCTCGGTAGCTCATGGTCCGCAGGGAGCGATGGAACTGGTAGTAAGACACCACCAGGTCCTTGGGGTTGCGAGCCATATAGATGACCTGTGGGTGACAGAATGGAGTCGGGGCTCAGGCATCCCCTTGCCTGTTCCCAGCATGGAGTGGGCCCTGCACCTGTTCTCACTATGTGTGCTCTGGCCCACAAGCCCTGTATGCAGGACGAGAAGCTGACTATGTTGTGTTGTAGTTGCTTTGCTCCACCACTGCTTTCAGTCCACAGAACAGAGTAAGGCTGGTGATACAGACAGGGACAGCAGAGCTGGTGAGCACCCCCACCACCATGTGCCACTGTGAGGGATAGCCCTGGGTAAAGCACAAAGAAAGAGCTGCAGATATGATCCAAGCAGGCCTCACAGAGAACACTGCACACCGAAAGAAATCCTCAGGGAGGACCCCAGGCCAGGAGTGATGGGGACTGCAGTGGTGACACAGGCCTCGGGGACTCCTTGCTGAGGACCGGGTGGGAAATGGGTAGGTTACCTTGGAGTCTCCGTTGTGGAGGTCAGAGGGCAGGAAGCGGTAGGGGAGGTGGCTCTTGATGAGGCGGGGAGATGTCAGCTCCTGTGGGCAGAGGAGAGCTCTGAGAAGAGTTATGGCATTTTCTCTCTCTCTCTCTCTCTCTCTCTCTCTCTCTCTCTCTCTCTCTCCTTTTTTTTTTTTCTTTTTTTTTTTGGCAGGGTTTTTTCTGGAACTCACTATATAGACCAGGCTGGCCTTGAACTCACAGACATCCGCCTGCCTCTGCCTCCCGAGTGCTGGGATTAAAGGTGTGCGCCACCACGCCCAGCAGCTCTCTCGTCTTTCTAACATGCCTCAGAGCAGAAGGTCTTGACCAAGCAGAACTTCCCACATCCCCTACCCAACTTCCCACCTGAGTCATCTGGACACGGCCCATACTAGGCGGGACAGTGGAAGCAGTCCCTGTCCCCAGCCTGAGGGGCTGATTCCTATGGCCACAGGAGTCTGGCCTGAGAGGCTGAAACAAGGAAAGGCCTATGGGGCAGCAGAAGCAGAAAACACAGGCCCAGAGTGGCATCTACAAGACTGTGGGGGCAGCTGACACCCAGATGCTTTGGGCTTCCCTCAGCCCCAATCCACACAGCAGCTCAGTGGATCCTGGACAGCAGCTTCCAGTCCCTCAGCCTTCTCCTGAGTCCTTTCTGTCAGCTTCCCCTGGGACAATGGGGTCTTGGTGCCCCCTCAGCTCTTGGCTCCTCTCCTCCCTCTAGACCATCCTGGGTCACCTATCCCCTGCCGGACTTCCTGCACTGTGAGGTGGGGACTGTCAGCTCACTGCTGCATCCAGTGCCAGGAACAAGTCCAGTATGTGGGTGCTCAACACAAAAGCACCACACACTCTGAGTGTCTCGTGTGCAGAAGCCAATGTGACTGGGCACAGACTGCAGACAGCAGAGTGAACTTGAGAGACGAGGTGCAGAGATAGGCTCCCATTTGTGCCAGCTGCCCTCACATGGGTGGGTGTGGCTCTGAGAGCTGTTTGCTCACACCAGAAAAGCAAGTGGGTGGTGGCCAGGCTGCTGAGGCCAGTTAGGCTTCAGCCTGATCTACAGAGGTGGTAGGAGATGGAATGGAGAGAAAAGTCCAGAAACTTTGCAGGGCCAGAATGCATGAACCTGGAAACAGCCTTCCTTTTTGGTGAGATAGGTCTCACCATGTAGCCCAGGCTGGCCTAAAACTCACAGTGATCCTCCTGCCTCAGCCTCTCCAGTGCTAACATGACAGGTGAGAGCTACCACACCTGACTAATTTCATTCTTTTTTAAAAAAAAAATTTTAATGTGTATGAGTGTTTTGCCTACATGTATAAAGTGCACCACATGCATGTGTGCAGTTCCTGAAGAGACCAGAAGAGGGCCTCAGATCCCTTGGAACTAGAGTCATGGATAGTTGTTAGTCTCAGTGTTGGTGCTGGGAGCCAAACCTGGGTCCTCTGCAAGAGCAGGCAGTGTTCTTAACCACAGAGCCATCTCTCCAGTCCGAAAACAAATTTCTTTTTTAAGACACAGTCTCCCTGTATCCCCAAATGGACTGGAGCTTGCTGTGTAGACCAGGCTGGCCTTGATCTCACAGAGATCTGCCTGACTCTGCCTCTTGAGTGCTGGGATTAAAGGCGTGGGCTACCACACCTGACATTTAATTTCATTCATTCTTTTTTTCTTTTGGTCTTTTTGAGACAGGGTCTCCCTGTAGCCCCAGCTGACTTGGAACTCAATTTGTAGACCAGGCTGGCCTTGAACTCAAAAGAGGTCCACCTGCCTCTGCTTTCCAAGTACTGGGATCAAAGGCATGTGCCACCACACCTGGCGTAATTTCATTCTTGATGACAAAGTTTTGAAACACATGCACCCCAGCTCCCTTGACCAGTGAGGGAGGGGCTGGGGTCTGCTTCCTCACTGATGGTCCCTCAGCACCCCCACATGTACACATACACACATATCTACCCCCTCCCCCAATACCTCACAACCTGCAGACTGCCAAATCTTGATAATCACCCACACTTGATAGAACCCCAGTCACAGTCATGGGCTCAAGCCTGTCAGTCTCTCCCCTTCTTGGCAAGATGGAACCACCCAGGGTCCCCCAGTTGTCCCCACCCAGAGTCCCCATGATCCTCCTTGAAGCCACTGTCACTCCACAGGTATAACTGTGGTGGGCTTACACTGGGCCTGTGTGCCCACGGGGTACCTTGATGATGTCCAGGCCCGGCTGGGGGTACTCCAACACTGGCAGCTGTTCGTCAATATTCATCAGGCCGATCTCATCAGGGTCAGCCCCCTGGCTCACCAGGTAGACCACTTCCTGAAGAAGGCTTGTGCCTAGGACGAGAGGCAAGGGAGGGTGCTCAGAGCAGGTTCTGGGCCAGCAGCCCCACCATCAAGGCAAATCCTCCTGCCTAAGAAGGAAGAGGGGAGACACAAGGGGGATGTGGCACCTGGAGAGAGCCTGAAACAGCCCCAGGCTAGGTGTGAGGTCTCAATCACGTCCACCAGCACTTAGCCTGAATTGTTCCTTATTGTTCAGCGGGGCAGGACATCTGGAAAAGCAAGCAGGACTTCACGGCTCTCAACCCTGAAGCCTCCAGAGTCTGAACTCTCCACCAGACACAGGAGTGACTATGCTCGGGGAAGTGAATTTAGCTGCCCAGTGTCTACTAAGCACAGCATACACACAGCCCGTGGTCCTAGTAGTAAACATCTAGAGAAACAAACCAACAAGTGTGTTACAGAACATTCCTGGCCTTGTCATTCATAACAGTCAAGCCCTGTTGACCCTGATGAGATCGGCAAAAACATCTATCAACAACAGAGGCACGCTGATGACCACACAGTGGGTACAGCACCGAGGAAGGACAAACTCACAATGCATGGTGGAGGTCCAGGACCATCGGTACCTGCTGTGCGATTCTGGCTGTTCCTTTGCAAAACAAGCTACGGTGACAGAGATGAGACCAGGGGAGTGTGAGGCGGCCACTCACTCAGAGATGTAAAGAGGACCGATGGTCTCCGATCTTTCACTGGTCTGCTGGCCAGAAGCAGGCATGTGTAAGCTGAGTTCACTGAGAGACAGAAACCGCTTCAGCCTGAAGCAGCCTGCTCCTCAAGACAGCAGGAGACAGCCAAGACCAAGGGCATGCCTGAACCCACACCTGAGCCATGCAAGGCAGACAGCAACCACCAGGAAACAGGTGCTCATGGGCACAGTGGCCCACAGGGCCCCAGACCTGTGAGTGACTCCCTACCTTCACAGAGTAGCAACACAGCATGGACAGGTCCCCTGGTGGATCTGGGGACCATCCTTCCCCTCAGAACCTGGTCCCACTGCCTCCAACCTAAGGCCCTTCTGCAACCTCCCCGTGCATGACAAGGTACAGGCACTCAGGGCCCCGCTTCACCTTCCCTCTGCCTCTTCCCTCCTCTCAGATTCAGCCTCACGTGCAGCTGCTGTAGCTCCACCCTGGAGTTTGCCTCCCCGGAAGTCCCTGGGTCACTTACACTACAGGCCATCTGCACCCTGACTGCTCTCCCTCCCTCACCGCACCCCTCAGCCAGTGCTAAAGATGGGAAGAGCAGAGCCAGGCTAGACCCTGCTGGGCTCCGTGGACATCCAGACAATTGTCAGGCCTGCCACAGAGAGGGTGGCTCTGCAGTTCTCCAGCCCCAGAGACCTCGGAGAAGACAGACACAGCTAAATGCACTGCCCCTTCACTTCAGGGGGGCGTTAGTCTTTGTGACTGACCCCCTCTCTCTAGCATTCCAACACCCTCCCCAAGTAGCCTCATCACCCCCCCGAATCAAAGCTAGGCCCTGTGGGTAACACATACCCTGTTGGGCCAGCATCAGGTACTCAGTAGAGATGGACTTTTGTCAACAACCCCACTGCTCAGTAATCCACACCTTTGAGAGCTGCTCATACCAAACAGTGCCCTCACACCACCAATGGAAGACCTCCAGGTGGCCCCCTACTCCCTAGAGTGAAAGTGAGACCTTAAGCCAGGTGTGGTTACACATACCTGTAATCCCATCACTTGGGAGACTGAGGCAGGAGGATTGTGAGTTGGCGGCCAGCCTGAGCTATACAGCAAGACCTCATCTCAGAAAAACAAAAACAAGAAGCCAAGCTTTACCAAGCCGGCCAGGCCTGCCTGTTGTGCCTGTCTCTCTTCCCTACTGTCCTTGCTGGTCCTCTGGAAGGACCCTTCCTCCCTCCCTCCTCTGTTTCTCCTCCAATGCCACCTACCAGTAAGGGCTGCCCTGGCCTGTCTGTTCTTCACGCTGGGTCTACTGTACTAACAGCCCAGGACTGGCACATATTCCTCTGGAGTCCCACCACCCGGGACAGGGGCTGCTCAGCCAAGAACTCTCAGTGGCCCACCATCCTCTAAGGGCCAGCACACCTGGATATGGCTCACCTGCTGAGCAGGCAGGAGACTACAGGGTGGTGGAGGCGACACTCTGGAAAGGCCAGAACCAATGAAGAAAGAAAAGAAAACCAACTGAGGTGAGTCCCTCTCCCTTCTTGGCAGATGCCAGGAGGGGGCAAGTGACCTGCTCAGAGCAAGGCCTCTCGGTGAACTAGCAATCCTGAGCACCGGACTCAGAATGCACACTGTGGGAACCACCAGCTGGGACAGCCATGCAGAGGATGTCATAGCTTTGTCTGACACAGGCATCTAGTCACAGACTAACACAATGGGATAGCTCACAGGTCACTAAGCGCAGGTGGCAGTCACAGGCCAGCATCAGAGCTGGAAAAGGGGGAAGGACCAGAGAGGGTCAGGAGCTCCACCTTACACACACACATACACGTGCATGCATACACACATGCATACATGCACATACAAACATGCATACATGCACACACGCACATATATACACATATGCACACATATATACAAACATGGAGGGAGGAGCAGCGGGGTGGAGTGGGGTGGGACGGGGAAGTCCCATACTGCTGCAGGGCCCACAGCCATACTGGGAGACCCTGAGATGCACACGAACTATGGACATCCTTGGTGCTGGGAGGAGAGAGCCCCTGCAGAGTCAGCCTGCTGCAGTACTCCAACAGCTACAATCTGCAGGGTGAAAAGCCGCCAGGCTGGAGCACAGCCAGGCTCTCCATGGACTCCGCATACCAGTGGGGGACTCTCTCATCCACAGTGTGCTTTGCTGACACAGCCAGAGTCTGAGTGACAAAACATGGATGCTCCCATAGCAGCTGGCAGGACTCTAACCTGAGACCTGGGTTGAGAAGTTGTAGACGCTCCTGGAATTTGGAGGCAGACCTGCCCAAGAATCTGGGGTGCAACTTGTCACCACCATCCAAGGAGGCCAACAAAGCCTCCCCAGAATTCTGGAGACAGGATGCCTCGCTGGGTCAGAGCCCATTGGAACCAGCCCCAGCCCCACCAGGATCCTGGAAGTGGACTCTCATTTACATCATTTGCCAAAGCCACACTGCTACCTAGTTTAACTAGCCAGCATCCTATAGGATACACAATAGGTTCCCAGTCTCCTCCCCTAGACCCCACTCCCACAGGCAAATCCTTGGCTAGTTCTTACTCTCTAGGTACGAACTTACTTACCAGGTCCTCCAGGCAAATGTGCTAACATTCATAACCTCAGATGATCTATTGATCTTCAACCAAGGAAGATGAGGGCCTTTCCAAATCTCCTCCCTGTACCCCAGTTTCCCTCATCCCAAAAAGTCACAGCATGATGTGGGGCTCAGCAGGGACTTAGACCACAGGACCACTGTACTTCCATGGACTCCTGTGGTAGACTTCTATGGTGCCATGGCTTTCCTGCCTGTGCATGCCTGGTTTTCTATGTAGTCATTAATTCTGCCATTAAATGCTGCCAATGTGTCTAGAGACCTGAACATCTCAGATTTGCAGTGGCCCGCATTCTCCTGACCTCCACAGACATTGCAGGGCACGGGTGCACTTACACACATGCAGGCATAACACTCATACACATAAAATTAAAATAATAAAATATTTTTAAAAAGAAAAAAGTTTATATGTATGAATGTTTTGCCTGCAAGTATTTAAGTGCACCCATGTTATGTGATGCCCACAGAGGCCAGTAGTGCGTATTGAATTCAAGGCCAACCTGGTCTACATAGTGAGTTCCAGAACAGCTGGGGCTACACGGAGATCCTGTCTCAAAAAGACCGAAAAAAAAGAAGAAAAAAGAAAAAAGAAGTTATGTAAGTGTGGTCTCTCTCTGTCTCAAAATATCTTCTCTATGTGTGTGTGTGTGTGTGTGTCTACGTGTCTGTGTGTAGGCCAAAAGTCACCTTCAGGTATCATTCCTCATGGGCTATCCACCTTGGTTTTTGAAACGGTTCCTCCCAGGACCTGGGGTTTGTCAATTAGGCTAGGCTGGTCAGCTAGCAAGCCCCAGACATCCTCCTGTCACTTCCTACCCAGCACTGGGATTACATGCCCATGCCAACACGCCCAGCTTTGTATGTGGGTTCTGGGGACCAAACTCATGCCCTCAGTTTACCAACTGCGTTCTCCCCCCAACCCCTCCCAGAATATTTTAATTTCATCATTTTTTTATTTTTATTTTATGTGTATGACTATTTTGCCTATATGTATATGTATATATGTGTGTATGTAGATATATTTCACACATGTACAATGCCTATGGAGACCATCTCTCCAGCCCCAATTCCATCATATCTTAATGTCACCAGATGTGATGGCACGCACCCATAAACCCAGCTTGGGAGGGGAAACAGGAGAGTCACCGCAAGTCTGAAACCAGCCTGGATTTAAAGAAATCTCATTTTGGGGCTGGAGAGAGATGGTTCAGTGGTTAAGAACATTGGTGGTTTTTGCAGAAGACCCAGGTTCAAATCCCAGCACCCACATGGCAGCTAACTGTCCATAACTCCAGTTCCAGGGGATCCGACAACCTCTTCTGTCCTCGTCGGGCACTGCGCAACACAGGTGCACTTACCTACACGCAGGCAATGCACACACGCATGAAATAAAAATAAAGTCTCATTTCTTTGTTGTGTTGTAATAACACTTTCAGATCTGCTTGGCTGTGGATAATGGAAATTGCAGACGTGGGAGGTGGACACTGCATCTCTTGGGGACATGCCTCTGTCATTCAGCTCTCCAGCCCCACCAGATGACCTGTCCATGAAACACTACACAGTGTCTCCCAGGGATCTCCTTCTATCTCAAATGTACAACGTCCTTCATCCATGTCTCCTCCACACTTGCACCTCCAGCTGCTTCTTTAATGTGACTTCAAGTGTCTCCACCACACATGTGACTGGCAGCTTGTCTGGAGACAGA